ATATTATTCTTCTGTCTCACATTCAACAGAAACAATATATCCTGGATAACAATCTGTATTTAGAACCATCCCAGTACCTCCTGGGCATTTTGTCCTGTACACATGAATCATTATCASAAGGCATTTTACACTACTCAGAAGTCTCTTCAATAATATTCTGTCCTTATGTTCATTATATCTTTTAATTATTGACTTTTCCTCAAAACTGATACCACAACTGAAGGAAGGTTAAAAACCTAGTCTACAATTTTAAAATGAACAATTTTATTTCAGTAAACTCCACTTTCAAGTTCAAACAGAAAATTATTCTCACACAACACTGCAGATAACAGCAGAAGTTTTTTTGTCCAACAGGATAATTAAATGGTACCCAAAACATTACTGATGTTGTCAAGGTCATTCCCATTAAGAGTTTAGAGATTATTCCCTAAGGCTGCATTTCACAAAAAGAGCCATCTCCAACTGTAGAGACTAGGGAAAGCAATACAAAGAAATGCTTAAGAATTTCTAGGCATCACCTCTACAGATTCACCGTCAAAAATCCCAGCAGGCTTCTTGGCCACTCAGAATCTATCTTGATTTGAAAGAGTACTGTTGATTCCRGGAGTTCTCTTCTTCAAAGAAGGTGACCAGCTCCACTGAAGYCACAAGGAGAAGAGGAAAGTGGGAGACAGAAATTCACCCTTTTAGTAGTTTTGCTGCCTAGGAGAAATATTCCACTTTTACGTCTGTGCAAAAAAGCTGCAGGCAATGTCTTCAGAAATTAAATTTCTTATTATTATGATACTGGCTGATACATCATGGAAGTTATTTGAAAAACTGATCCAACTAAATATTGTTAATATTTCACACAGCATCAAAGCAATGTCTTCCCAGATTAACCAGCAACAAAGATATTATAACAAAATAAATAAACCAGGATATTATTTTGGGTAGAAAACTATGCGAGCATTAGCAAAGCATAAACCACATTGACAAAAATTCCAGGCCTTAAGAAAAAACACTGTGAAAAGTACACTATTGGGTATCAACCAAAATATGAAGACAACAATTCTGACACAATAATCATCACAATATATACTACGAGCAATAGAAAGTACGATGCTGTTATTTCCTGAAGCRTCAAAACAAGGTACAACTACCAGTAACTTTTTTTTGCACCAGACAGATAGAAATTTAGAAGGACAAGTATTCTTGAAATCATAAACAAAAATCCCATATGTACAGCCTGTTTCACTCACTATTACAGAATAGCTCACTATTCTATAAAGGTTTGATTTCTGTGTCTGCAAGCTGTAAAAAAAATATAAATGTACCGTTTTAAACAATCCAGAAGTTCAATATAAATGAAAAATCTTGTCCAAAAGAAGTAAAGGGAGACGTTAAATCCATACAGGTAGTATAAAGATAAAAGCAAAAGTATTATACTGCATTCTGAGAACAAAATATACTAGACATTAATAAAAAGACTAGTAAGATGYTAAAATGAACACATCCCATAAAAAATTTTTAAAAAGCAGAAGGCAAACACCAGATCTGGAAAGTTACAAGAAAAATACAATAAGCGTATTCAAAAATTTAGAGAAAGTAATACAAAATCAAAGTCTTCCTTTCGTTTTGGGAGCAGAAAGGCTCACACCAAAACCTGCAAAACTAAAATGTGACAAACATGAACATGAAAATTTAGGACCCTTATATTACGATCCTTTACAGCTGCACAGGTGAAGACCTCTAAGCCATTAAACACTCACTCATTCAAAGAAGAAAATTCTTTTCACTCTGCAGAATTTATGTCTAATTCTTACACGCCTCCAAAGGCTTACGCAAAATTCAAGTCCTGATATTGAGTCCTTCTTAAACTCAGTCTTTTAAGGGTTTACTGAAGAAAACTAAGATCTGATTCTGTCTCTTATCTTCAATTTTATCAAGGAGAAAATGCAGAGCATCATTTGATCTACTTTGGGTTGATTTGGTGTGGTGAATTTAAATATATCTGTTGGCTGCAATGGTAAATTGTGAACAGTTAGCCTCAAAGACAACAAGTCATATTATTCTGGATTACAAACAACTGTTGTCATTATGAAACAGACCACTCTCCCCAAAAAGAAAAACAGAGGATATCTAAGACCAGAGGTGCACCTTGCCAGTTAAAATCAGTTCAGAGGTACCACAGAYAGCCTGAACTGAGAATCTTGTATTTAGAGATGCTGAACTGCAAGCACGCACACACAGTCATGAGAAACATGAAGTCCTATTCCGTGGTCAAAACACTGATGTTTCCTGAGTATTTTCATCTTTGGAAAGTTTTAACCATCCTGCAACGGCTGATTGTAGCTGCAATGTGAATGCTGTACAAATGAGAATTAATAGTAAGTGTCAATTCTTCTGCATGATGATATTTGTCTCCCCTGTTCATTCTCATCCATCCTTTGGTAGTATTCTCTATTTCATATATGTTTTCCAAAATAAGAACTACTGATGACAGACTGTACAAGAATTTTCCCTTGGGTAATGACTAAGACATGAGTAAAAGTAACACCAAACAAACACACATGTCCAAAGTTGCACTAAAAAAAAAGTATTCATCACATGTTCTAGTAGCTTCAAAGCATGACCACAAACAGAATATTCTTGTTATTTCCTGTGATTGTGCCAGCAGCTTCATGAAATCTTTGTCAAAAGCAGCCAAGATCAATGAACCAAACCTTCAAATACAGCACACAGAATTGTTTTATACAAAGCCTCTTTGATGTAATACCACAAARGAAAAGGAGTCCAAGCGATGAATACGTCCGATGCAACTGTAAGAGCTTTGCCTCCCTTTACTGCCTGCTAAGGCTGTTCTTACATAGTGCACAAAATATTAGTCATTAGCATACAATCAATTAATCACTAACATACAGYAATACAAAATTCAAAATACATTTCACCTTTATTTGAAACAAATAATTAATGCTAACATTATGTTAAGAACTCATAATCACATATCAATAACATAGTATAGAATGCAAAGATATTATTTATATTATCCTAGATGAAAATAATAATGATTGCATTATAATTCCCAATTAAATTAATGTATTCTAGATTATTTATATTAGTATATTAATAAACACTGAAACACTGAGGATGGTTTTTACTTAGCAAATCAACATGCCTGAAATTCAAAGCAATTACCATTGCATGCTCCTTACAAAAATTTATGAATACTAGATTTTTCTTGTACTTTTATTAGTAATTGAGAGGAATGAATTGGTAGTGCAAGTGATACAAATTTATTCCTTGACAAATCAAGAAATGGAAGGGCTCAGGTAATGTTACTTTCGGCAAGAAGTGTATTACTGCATATGCCATCTATCAACATTTAAAGGAAACCAGAGCTCTTAATTAGGAAGAAGATTCTCTGAGATATGATTTAATTTGAAAAACTGACTTAAACTCAACAGCTTAGAATAAGGTATTTATTTGTCAGCTGTGCTGTTCCCCCCCAACTCCTTTCAGAGAACAGTGTAAATATCACGGGGAACCTCATCGTCCCTCCTACAATACTGACAGTATCTGAAGTTACCAACTTCCAGTCTGAAGTATAACTATCAGTTTATTTAGATTTAGGAAACCCTACCCTAGAGAGTTCCAACCAGAATTTTATCAGCTACCAGGTGCTTCCTTTTGCCAATATAAAACGTATTTTGATTATCCTATTTTTAACAGATGGAGAAAATTCTGAAAGAATCCACATAGGCAACAGTTTTAAAAAATGTTATCAATATACACTGAAATTTCATGTAAAYTGCTGGCTGGACAGCTCTATTTGTAGAAGATCATGGAGCCCATCCTTGATTCAACAAATGCTGCTAGCATTGCATGCAATGAAAACCCGCATCTCTCTAAACTGTCCTCCATTTCTTCATCTCTTCTCTCTTGCAAGTTAATAATTCAAAATATCTACTCAGTTTTTTCTAGCTTTGTATTTCAAGTTTGTTTTTCTTTTTTTTTGCTTTGCCTACAAAACAAGTCCATGTGCCTGCTCTGCTTAACACAAGATGACTATAATGCACTGAGATTGTCTAAAAAATAAAACTCCCCTAATTCTAAAATTAGCCCTTCCCTCAAAAMCAGATTTTCATGTACTTGCACAACTTACCAAGCCAATGTCTTTGCTATTTCCCAGYACTAGGCAAGATTGCATTTTTACACAAAATACAGAATTAGACCTCATTCACAGAGACCTCCATGTGTTTCTTCCAACTAACCATGTTCCACACTAAGTGTTGCCACAGATACAACATTCTCTTTCCTTGTAAAGAAAATTGTATTATATGCTAATGGTTCAATTAATTTTCAGGAATACACTCCCAGAACAATGATACCATTCATGAATACATGTGGGACATGCCAACATTAAATCACCCATCAGTCATCTGTTCATCCCTCAGAAGGCAGTAACGCAGCTTACTGACAGTAGTATATTAAGGGTATCTTCAGAAAACATGGTTCCTAAAGAACTGTACAGAGGCTTCAAAACAAAATAGTAAAACAAACATATTCAGGCAAGTTCAGTCACAAAGAAAACTTGTAGCTCGCACATCCCACAGCTCCATGCTTTACTCATCAGAGGTTATAATACTGTATAAATATTTTATACTTTAAAAAATTTATTCAGCCAATTCAGAGACTTATTCAAACTGTCAGAGATGACTCATACTCAGAGAGACCTAGGGGTTCCCAATTATCTAAAAAATTACTGGAATATACTGATCAATCTGAATCACAAATAATAYGTAAAACCTTACAGTTGCCTCCAGAAATCCCAGAATAAATAAAAAATCTAAGCCTGCACACTGTAAAAACCATGCACTGCAATTTTGTAACTCACGCAGCTGTGGAATCGAAGTATGACATTAATTTTAACCTAGTGGTGATTAGCAGATAAAAAAACCAAACCAAACACACTTCATATGATATGTAGAGATTTTATGAGTTGGTCAAACAAATCTTACCCCAGCAGAATTTTAGCATGAACCTCTTTGTTAGTCCTTGAGATTTCTCTCAAAGAGGTAATTTCTGCATCAAACCAAAATCCTCTTTCTTCTGGTGTCTCAACATTGTAGTTAACCATCACCACATCACCCACTTTAAGCTCACTCCACTTCAAAATGGTTCTTGCTCGGGGTCGAAGATTAACTGTGTCCATTTCTATTATGCCATTTTCGGGATACCTTGAAAAGTAAAACCAACAACACCAATGATTATGACTCCTGCAACAGTAAAAAGGAAGTCACAGACAATATTTTTCAGAAGTAAAAGTTTTTAAATGTCCTCTGGGCTTGTAAGAACCACAAAAATCTGACCTAATGCCCTTTTTAAAATATAGCTTTCATCTCAATACAGACCAAGAATTTGTCTTATCTCAGATGGGAAAAATAGCCTCCATGACTTCTTCTAAAACAAACAAGGAGAACCYACCAAAAACAGACAAAAACAAACAACAAAACCCAAAACCAACTTCAAAACAAAAATCCCCAAATGAACAAAAAAGTAAATCTATCTGCATTACATGATTATTTAGAGTTACTTGATGGCACTATAACAAAAATCCCAATGCAGGAAGGAAACCTTCAAATTTGACATGCTTTTCAGTTTAACACTACAGATTTCTTATATTCCTCTGAATGAGGCAACTATTCCTCGACAGTAGAACCTGCATTTGTACATGTGCTGGAAAACCAGCAGAATATAGACATGATCAAAACATGCCTTGCAAAAAAAGCTAGCCTATAACAAAAAGTTAAGACGCTAGAGTAAAAGTGAAGCTCCTTTTTCATACTATGTGCAAGGAGACAAAAGTCTTCCATCATTCAACTAGCACGCCATGAGTTCACAGAACAAATTTAGCAGAGACCATGAAAATTAGTCTACTGTCAATCAACAAGTGCTATGAGAAGTATATATTCTTCCTTCTTAACAAACAATGCTGAGGATGATATACCTTAAATTATATTTTCATTATGTAATTACTGGCACTTTAGCAAGAGCACTCACAATTAACTTAACAAATCTTTATCAATAATAGACACCATTTACGTATACAGCGAGGTAATCAAGAAGCACATGTAGGATCTGTGGGACTGTAAAAACTACCAATAAGCATTTTAAAGTTTCTGTGTCACTATTAAAAAAACCCAAACTAAATATCTGACTTAAAATGAGTTTCTATTCATAGAAACGTAATCTTAATCTGAAAAATCTGTTCTCTTCAAAAAGTAAAATGTTCTCATCTTCTATTTTTCCTGAGAGAGAATTGGATAAACTTTTTTCCCTAAATTCAGATTACTGCTATCTTTTCCACCTCCATACAACTTGGAACAGAATCTTTCCTGTTGTACTGCTGAGGAATTTCAAAGATTGTCATTGTTAACAATGTCTCCACCTTTTTCTAAGAAGTAGCTCATGAGAAAACCAAAGCAAAAAGTGGCCTATCAGCATAACTACAACAAGATCACTTCCAAAAGACACCCCCAAAATCCCCTTTTATAAATAGAAACTAACAATTTTCCAAAGAAAGAAAAGGAAGACTGACTCTTCACTGAGTGCATTTTTGCTCTAATCAGSTGGTCAGAAACTCAAACTTAGAAACTTCAGAAAAAAAAAGATGAGACTTATTTTGTCACATTTCATTTCTCTTTTGCAAAAGGTTCCAGACATTGAATATTTTTACTGCTGTGCCTTCACACACAAAGAAATGTTTTCATGGTTGTTGGTGAATGCTAGCAGCTATTTAACCTTTCACATTTGTCCACAACTGACACCTCAGGCAGAACAGATGTAAAATATTTGCCACAAGCTTTTGAGTCAGGCTCAAAATTGCACAGCATTAAACTCTGTGAACTCAGTACCACTATTCATTATTAYATTAATAAGTAAACGGTACTTTCACAGTAAACTTGTGAACTCAAATGTGTGTAATGACACAATTTACTTAAATATGGAAAAAAAAMCACACCAAGATGAGAATATTCTACTACCTCATGCTCGCTTTCCTAAAGTTTAATATGCCATTCTTTAAAAATCACGTTAATTTAAAACCTAATCTCTTAAATACAAAAATAATATTTAAGCATAGAATCAKGAGACAGGAATATGTGGACTTACGTAGATAAACCAAAATATAAAGAGAACAAATATGGTATTTTAACATCAAGACTTAAGCAAAAATTAATTCTTGCTCATTCTGGCAAGCTTTAATAAAGGACTACCTACTGTAAGACATGAACATATATTGATAGTGTTTTCTCMTTTATTGAGTTTTAAAACCTTAAAATGACACTCAAGAGAAAACATTTTTACAGCAGTATTTTAATTAAGACTAGCATAAATTTGGTACAGTTGAAATAAAGATTGTATGGCACAATTACATCTTTAAATTTAAAACAGCTGTAGACAGTTCGTTTTCCATGTTTACAGGACAATTTGGCAACTAACACTAATAAAAGGAGCTGTAACAGCAAGAGCAATCATAAGACTTTAATGAAAAATGCCCATACGAAGTCTCTATTTACCTCTAATTTAATTCTTCCCTGATGTATTTCTACCACTAGCATAGCAAGGATTTTTTGAGATTTCCTATTTGTGTAGACAGTCTCCATAGCAAAGAATTATTCATGAAGTAAAAATTCCAGTGCTTCTTGGCTATGGTCAGATGGTTGACTTTGGTTGCTAAAATGCTCAAATACTAAAATATGTGGTATTTCCATGTCAGAACAAGCCCAAGCCTGCTCAATTTACTGGAACCTTGCAACATACCCATTAACAATTTTCTAGTCTGTTACTAGAACAAACAGAACTGGAAAGGTAAAATTCTAGGAACAAAAGTCAAGATTTCCCCATTCACTCTTCATACTAGTATAGTAAGGAATGTTAGTGCAGACATACAATTTTTTAAATTATTTACCAACATCAATAAAATGAAGGTATAATTTATTTTCTCAACTACAAAATCCAGGAAAATGTTTTTCAACACACACTCTGGAATGAAGGAATAGAAGGACAAAAACAAAAGAAAAAAGAAAAAGGAAAGAAATCCTAGAAGAGGTAAATCTCACTAATGATGTAGACTTGAATAAAACCACCCCACTCCCTGACAACCTGAGGAAATAATGAGCCCCTTTCTGCTGTAGTGATTGAGAAAGCAAAAATATTGTTTGAAAAAGCACTACACTAAAGACCACATAAGCTACAATTATGAATAGGGGAAAAATATCACTGGGATAGTCGAACAATGCATTTGCAAAAAACCAGCAGGTCTGATAATTTGTCACTACAAGAAAAAAAGTAATATATTTCAAAGACAGACTGGAAGGCATAATGAAGATCAATAAACATAAAAATCAGTCACATGGAACATAAACAAGATTTTGAAAACCTTACACAATTAAGCAGCCCAAACACTGGGGAACCAATTAATAGCCTTAAGAGTAACATCTTACTTTCCTAATTACTTTAATTCTGAGTTTCAAGAAAAAGTAACTTCTAGTCTTACATGACTGCACTGTGAGGACAACACAGATACCCTGAAGGGGGACAACCTGGAAATAAACAGTATCAGAACAGAACTTTAGAACTGTAAGAGATACATAGAATGTTCAATTTCTAATACAACACTGTTGTATAGCAAGCTCAAGTAATGCCAATATAGTGAAAATCACGTTTACTTCACTAAACAGCACAAAGGATGACAAGTCATACATTTACTAACAAATCTTATTTTGAAAAAGACTTTCCTCAGGAATGTGAGGAGAGCACTTACAGCTAATTCAAGATAAACAGATAAGTAGTAAAATTTAATCTCACTCTCACTGATCACACCATTATTTAGCCAAGAATCAGCTGTAAATTCAGAAGTTTATTATTATTTTAGTTGTTCTGTAAAACAACTACTAGGACAGCAAAGCTTGCCTCCCTAAGCTCAAATCCTTTCTWAAGAGACAGCAACCTGGGCTGCCTACCCAAACTATTCCTTTTTCAGTTTGCACAAGGTATCTATCTACATTGTTAAAAATCAAAGCCTTAGTTAATGCCTGTAGTCAAAACCCTGACTACAATACATGCAAGTAYTGACATTGTAAAACACAGAATATGCAGTCAGAAACCCACTGCAAAGGGGACAAACAACCCTAAAAGGAATGGACTTAGTGCAATGAAGAGCTGTGCAGCTAATCCCATAAAATACTTTCAATTGTGAATTAACTGTGGTGGCCCGCTTTCCAGTAAGGATATAGGGAAAAAAGACTTTCACCTTACRTAGGAGCTCTTCTACTACTTTAGCATTGCCTAGTAATCTGTATGAGGCAAAAAATTTTGAATGAGTAAACAAACCAATCACTGATATTAGGAACTAGAAAACAGAACTACATAGCCAGGAGAGGTGCTCCAAGTAGTCACTCAGACTAATTATAAAAAAGGCTTGTGACTGACATGAGGTCAGAGAAAGTTTATTACCCTTAGGAACAGATTGTCTTAACATTCTACTTGGCAGACAATATAGTTCTCATTCCTCTTCCTCTTCTGAAATTCTAAACAGTCCAACATAAACAAGAGGAAATAAGTCCTACAATAAAACTAGTCTATAGCTCTCACCCCATTTCTTCATGTTTCTAGCCATGACCTTCAGAAGGAATCCCTCTCCTCACTTCAGTGTCTGAAACTACAACCAGGAATCTGACAGCATGCATCCTCATGATTTGCACTCTTTCCTGTGCTTGACGTATACAAAGAGAAGAGTCAAACAACTCATCTAAACATTTACAGGGATTAATCAAGGAACACATAACATGCAAAGGGATGTATTTTGACATTACTTCACAGAATACAAAACGTAACAGTTTACATAATGCACTATCATTAATGCTGCACAAAGCAGCTACTTCTCAAAGAAACAGGGCTTCTTTTACATATTCCATCCCCTCTGGGCAAATTTATTTGACTGATGAGTGACAAAACCCAGTAACATTCACCTAGTAAACACTAGTTTTTAGATATATTAGGAAGCAAGAGCATTTCATTGTACAGTCACATAACCAGAAAATTCAATGCAACTTCATTATCAGAAGTACACAGTTAGAGAGCAAAGTATGAAAAGAAGCAGGGGCTACCTCATCTCGGAACAGACCATAAAGCCTTTTGGTCTCCAAAAATCTATTTATCAGTTGGGCGAATTCTCAGATACAGTCTATTCAATCCCAGCCTACTACATATATCTCAAAATTTCACATGAAAAATATTMAAAAAAAAGGACACGTTAAATAAGTCTAATCTTCAAACCATCCCTTGAAAAAGTAAAAACAGGTTAAATACTATTATCCTCTTGATGATCTCTTCAGCAACAAAGACATTTTAAAGCAGTAAGTGTTTTTGTTAAACCAAGTAGTACTTTGAAATTTTCTTGTCATTGCCTCAAAATATTTTGCTCTCCAACTGTGTGTTGTACGTCGCTTCGACAGCYACACAGGATGAGTATACTTTCTTGACCTCTGTGGCAACACAGTAAAATCCTAATTTTCTTAATTGTGTGTGTTTGTGTGTATCTGTATGTGTGTGTATACACGTCTAAAGAGCCAAGGGCATCACTCCACAGCTCATTGTTTAAGCATTAAGTAAAGAGAAGCAATTAGTTCCCTAGAATAAATAACCACCAACAGTGTACTTTAGGGCAAATGACGCAGATATTATCTCATAGTTTAAATTAAAATTCTCTTGATTGTTATAAAACCTGAGGGGAATATCATCAGCCAMGCACAATGGCCTTGAAAAAAGTTACCTACACTTGAGTCATACTAAATCTACACTTGCATATAGGTGGTCACACTGAAATTTCTCATGCTGCAGAAACATCCAGCCTCCTTATGGCTTCTGCTGAGAGGCTTCTTAAATGGAAAGACTTTATTAGAAATTACTTAAACAAGAAAAGGAAGGAAAATACTTTCTTTGATTGTAAGTCACTAAGTCTTTCCACTGCTTCAGTGAGTTAATGATCAAGAAGCTAATACTTGCAGAATGAGAATGGTCTCCCYGACATTAAGTTTACTATAGGTAGTGCTACACCAGCAACAAATAGGAAATACAGTAAATTGAGAGGAAAGGGCAAATGTGATATGACACAGCATTGTAGGCATGTTCTTATGGTGCCACTCTGAGCTCTTGAAATGTCCTATTTCTGACTTGGAAGTGATTCTTAAGCAAGTTGTGGTAGAGATCACCTACAGTTATCTCAGTTAACTTTAGGACCTCAGCATGTGTTAGACTCCTCACAAGTCCTTTTAAACAAGGATTCAGATTTCTTTTGTTCTAGACAGGTTCATTTCTTCTGTATTCAAAGTCAGTTGCTAGAAGCAGAAGAAAGAAACATATGAGGAGAGGAAGATGACAACACACCTGCAAATTGTTGCCTGTAGGGAAAAACCTGCATTCAGAAATTGAAAGCAGAAGATGGACTGTGAGGCAGAAATTACACAGCCACAAATGGATGGCAAGAAATTTCGTACTGCATGAAAATCAGCATTGGTAAAACTGCTATTTTGGTCTTTTACTCACTGATGAAAACAAGGCTCCCGAACAAGCACCACAAGTCTTTTAAACGTTTGAACTCACTAAGAACTGTGACTCCAGCTTTAATCTGAAACTGAGTTCTGTTCCTTCCAATGGCCCTAGGTTTTCCCTGCAGAAATATGTGGGCCTAACAGCTGTTGCAGCAATTTAGTTGAATTCTAGACACACAGCTTTGGTGGGGTATGGTGGTGGAAGGGGTGGGGAGAAAACCACAACAGAAACAACTCACCAGTACTGTTATCTACAAAATCAGAGAGGATATGTAGTACCTCCCATCTGTGGCAGTCACAGGTGGTAGGAGAACTCTATTTAGTCACAAGGTAGTTACCCCTTTGAAATTACTATAATTAATTCTTGCCCAGAAAGGATAATTTCCCTTAAATGTAGTCTGCAAAAAGAGCTCTGACATACTTTTCCCCTTCACATTCACTGTAACTACTCTGCAAGAAATGGAAAGAGGAACAAAAGAACACTGAGCCCCTCAGAAGTACACTTTCATGAAATGTAAAACTGCACACCGAAGTGTTTGAGTTTTGCACAGGATTTGTGATTATGTACATCTAGTAGCACCACTGCTAAACCAACTGTCTCATTTAAGAAAAAGACGAGTCCTGCTCCACCCTTAAAGAACAACTTCTTTAGGAGAACACAGTGACCTAGGGGTAGAGTAGACCAATTAAAGGCATTACAGTGACCTATTCCTCAACTGTAACCAACAGTTCCTCTTACGTGATTTTTTTTTTCCAAACTGGAAGGATGCAACACAGAAGCATCAGTTATGATTAGAGAAGTTGTGCACCTGTGTCCACCTCCGACACACAGTCCTTCCGATGTATTAAAGTAATTTTTATGGCCTTACTGGCACCAGGCTTATGTCTTCCATTCAAAAGTAATTTTTACTCTAGTTCAGATAATGGAGAGTGTTCTTGTGTCACATAAGAATGCCAGCTGTAGGAAAGAGCTGAAACTATGCCACCCATGAGAGCCATCATCTTCAGAGATAAAAAGGAGAAAACAACACAGCAAGGATAGACTAGAAAATGCCAATCTGGCAGCAAAAAGCTTAGTCCAAATCTGAAAAACAAAACACTCATGCACAGGTAACTGTGCAGGGCCTAGTACTCACAATAAGATATGAACCTTGACAAACAGGAGCGAAGAGATAAACTCATCTATTTCTGGAGCAGAGAAGAACTATGTGTCAAAAAGTAGCATGACCTTCCTATTTATTCACATGAAGCAAAGAGGGGGCAAAATACAAATGTTGTTTTACATACATCAAAGAGGTACACACTACGTATGAAAACAGAGTGATATGAGCACATATGAGTGCTACAGTAAAAATGTGCATGYTGGGTAACCCTGAAAGAAAAAGGAGACCCCAAAATAATTGGATCATTAACATACACCAAAAATGTTACCACTTATAAATGTACAAGTCTCATTTTCCAACTATTTTTCTTTCCAAAAGCTCTAAATTCCAGTATCTTAGACTGACCTGCTTGATTGTGACAATCTTGCTACATTATGCTTTAATGCCTTACCTAATTTTCATTTCTATTTCCACATTTTTAATTTTCTAACATTTTAAGTAAAAGGCTTACAGTCACAGATATGAAATACAAACTTAGCACAGAGTCAGAAAAGTGCATTAAGTTGTAACTATTGCTTGTAAGAGAAACAAAAAGTGCTCTGTGTAACTCAGATTCCAAGTTACTATTAAAATATATAAAACTGAAATAGCTACTCTAAAAAACTATTTTGGAAATCTAATATTGAATATATTTTGCATCCTTCTATSTCAATCCTACATAGCACAAACTACAGTACTTTTACTAATCTTAGTATTATCAAAAATTAAAAATACTCAACTCATTTAAAATTTTATTTGTTTAGAAGCTTACTTACTGCCATAACACATTATTAAAAAAAAATTTCAGAACAATTTCACAAGCAAATGAAGAGGTGCAAAGCCTGTTCATAAATACAAAATCCTTTCAAACTCAAGGTTTCCCACCCAAACATTGAGGCTCTATAATTTGTTATGGCTAGGGAAGGGACATAGAAACCCCAAATTGACTCAAAAAAAACCCCCACCCTTAATAAACTCTCCCCAGTTCAGGATCAATTTCAAGTCCTCAGTCATGAAGTTTTCAATAACAAATTTCTACTGTAAGTTCAGATCTGCAATTCTGTGCACAATTGCTCTGTTAGGAATAAAACAAACTCAAATAAAGTAACAGAATCTGCTCTAATGGAAGCTCTCCTTCAGCTCCACTTAGAGGAATTCAATATACACAAAAAACAGTTTTATAAAAAGTTATAACAAAACTTTACTTGAAAAAGCCACACTAAAAATTTGATTATATGGTTTCTTTTTCTTACATAGAAAAGATGTATTTTCCTATTTAGGAAAGATATTCTTATAAGGAGAAGAAATGAATACTTCACAAGCATTTAGGCAAGACAAACATCATTACTGTCAATGGATTTGCAATATCCAACTGACAAGTGTTATAAATCCCTTAGTATTTTTTAATTGGCTGCAATATTGAACTTGCTTTCTTTGATTCCAAGCTCCTTCAAGAAATTCTTGGTTTATACAAACCAAGTAACAATATGTGATGTCCTCAAAATAGTATCAGGAGCAACTTACTCATCATACTTGATATGATAAATAGCTTCTTCATCAGTGTCCATACAATCTGAGTAAGATGTGGAAGGTGTACTGTCCAAATTATTTGCATTTTCTCTAGCATGATCTTGATTTAAGTTTCCATTAGTCCTTTTGTAAGTGTTACCACTCTTCCCTTGAGCTTTACCATTCTTATGTCCCTTTGTTGCTCGGGTAACATTTTCTATATGAGCTTCAAACCAGGCTCCAATGCTGACATCACGGGCATCCACCAATTCATTTATCTAAAAGGAAAATTCAATAATGAATTCAAGCTTAATTTATAAAATCCCTATTAAGAAAAAAATAAATCAGACAACTTACTATGCTACTGCTTAACTTCATTACCATAAAACAATGAATTATAATAACTAGTTGAGCTTAAGCAAGTTCAAGTAATATGCAGTCATAAATATTTTCATCTGCACTTTCAGTAATTTTATTACTCTTCCTTCATTAAAATCTAGTATAAATGTAATTCGTTTGTAATCTTAAGAAGCAAGGCTAACTTTTTTTCCCCTTCAAACCTGAAAATTAGCTTGATCTTTCATTATCTTTCCTCTTGCTTCACCAACTTTTCACAGCTATAAAAAGCACATACAGTATTAAAATATTAAACCACAATCAAAGTGTTTAAAGACCTTCCTGAGCCTCCGACTTGGGAATTATTATTTAACCTTCTACCTTCCTGTCCTGCAAGATTTTTTTAACCTTTAAAGGCTCAAGGACAGAGAGAAAAATTATTACAACAAATCCACTGCACAGCCATACCATAGAAAATACCTTCAATTATCAATATGGTACATGTGCAGATATAYGTACATGTAAATACATACATGATTTAAGCTACAGTCCTTGTCAAATACCAACATTGTGCCAGACAGATACTTACTCTCCCTTACTTACAGTCCAAAGGCTAATTTCTAATATATGAATAATCTTACTGTATTTTCACAGGACCAAAACTCAGAAAGTTTTAGCATTTAGAGTGAAGCAGTCCTYAGGTATCTGAAAGCACAGCTAACAGCAGCTTGAGCCAGCAAGTTTATCCCATGAAAGGAATACTTCCCATTGTATTCTTTCCATTCCTCTTCTTCAGATAACTTCCAAATCTAATGTAAAATACCAACATGTATATTTTTATTTTTATTCTTTCTTAAAACCTACAGTATTCAAAATACAGCTTATTACCAGGATGACAATTTCAGTCACGTGATAGACAAATCAGAGAAGGACAGTCTTACTTTAAATCTATCAATCTATTTTAAACATATACAGTGGATTCTGGTACTTCTAGAAGGAACCTTCATGAAGGCACCCCTATGCAATCTTACGTGTTTGAATTACTTGCAGCTCAAAGTGGTGCTTTACCTTATCTTCTCTAAAACACAGTTGAATGACATACACACCACTAAAGGATTCCCCCATCTGCTGCTATTTCTTGCAACCAGTTATGGAAGTGTCAAAGAAGCCATCATCTCCAGATCCAGAACAACAAAAAAAATGGAACAACCCCTTCCACAAAAAAAAAAACCAAAAAAAAAACCCAAACCAAAACAAAAAACAAATCCCAAAATACAAAACAAAACAACCAAACAAACCCCATCAATGCAAACTCCCTTAATCATTACTCTATAATGTATGCCTATGTAATTTGATGTGAACAGTTACACAACGTACTTTGCACCCTTGCAAAGACTAAGAGCAAATAATTATTACCACCACCTTCTGAGGAGCATAATACAACTATTTTGGGTGAGTGGAGTCTGGTTTAAGATCTATTTTATTTGTAGCTATTTCTGAACAACAAATGCTGATTTTAATACCAGATTCCTTTTGTGTGGTTTTTATTCCAAGCTAGTGTTCCTGTCTAAAATGTTTTTCCTGCAGTCAAGAGTTTTTTGGAAGAAAAGCTCACCATGTAAGAATCAGAAAATGAAATATGCACATGCTTCTGAATGAGCTTTGTTTTTTCTAACATCATTCCTGCATGCCTAAACCAGTGTTACTGTAACTCCTCTCCTGCAACTCAACTCATCTTGTATTCCTCCTTTTGGCCACTGCACCAAGACAGTGCTCTTCACACATGCCAAGTTCATCTCAGGATGGCCCCCCAGCTCTTAGATCAGATATCACTAACAATTCTTGGTAACAAGGAACAAGACATAAATCCATTCACGGCTAGTCCTTAAGAGYCCATGGTAATACATCAGATGTCAGGTACAACTGGGATATAAAACAAGCTAAAACATTCTGACTTACATAACATAGAAAAACCATACAGAGGAACTGTGTTTAAATCACTATTTTAACCACCTAACTATAATGTAATTATTATTAACTACTGTTTCCAATATCAACTCTACCACTATTTATTATTTTTTTAAACTGCAGGTTCCATACTGACTACCTTTCCTTCCAGTAGCTGAAATCAGAAAGAGAGCAGGGCACAGAGGTTGGGACTATCCATAGCATGGAGTAAGTAACAGGTATCTTGTTGAAGTCTAGCTCTGGATGAAGATCCAACGGAGCACAGGATTTTGCTCAGACAGAATAAGTTGTAACAAAATACTTCTTCCTGTAACTAAACAATTCCTTATCGTCTGACAATGAAATGAAAAATCATTAAATGTATCCATTTCTTAGCCACCTAATTTTATTTATAAATACCTTATTTTATTAGGCCCTAGGCCTTTTTTACTTCTATTAAACAAGTTTATGACCTCTGAACTACAATACATTGTTTGAAACTTTCCAGTAGTGTAATTAGAAATCCTCTATATGCATTCATACTCTTATCTACAAATAGCAAACAATGAAACAACTATACCCTTAATTTTTCTCTAGATATATTGAAAACACATTGTTGACTGAAAAAGTAATCACTTTACAAGTAATGAAGGAGAAAGTGTTTGGTCTCTAGAATGAGGCATCATAAAAATTGCAACTGACTTGACAAAATAGGTTTCCTTGAGTAGGCTTGATGGTATCACCATTCCCTGTTACATTTTCTGGTTTAGTCCTGAACAAAACAGCTAAGAGATTACTTGATATTTGACCTACTGAAATTTAACGTTCCTGAAAAATATATATATATTTAGTACTCCTTTCCTCAGATCGGCCTATCAACTGTGTATTCCCAAATCCCCAGTATTGTCCCCATCCTTTCTCTTACTACCTTTCACACTTGTTGATTAACTGTAAAGTTTCAGAATTGAAGAACTGCAGTTTTTCCCATTATTGTAAATGGACATTAAAAAAAGGAAGTACATAAGCATGTGGCTCCATATTGAAGCTACTGATTTTGTGACTCCCCTGACTTCTCAGAGAATGAACAGAACTCATGTATACGCATAGCAGCCTCTGTTGCATTAGAGCTACAGTAATCTGGCAGAGAATGAACCCCTTTGTGTTTGAGCTGGTCTTCAGAGCTCMGAAGGCTGGGTGCTGCTGGGCTTGATTTCTGATTAACTCAGCACTGTGAGTCTGGTTTCACAATCCAGATCCATCCATATTTACTGCAGTTTACTGAAGCAACAGGAGGTGCATTCAGGATTGCTAGTAAGCAATGCACTAACTACAGAGTCCTAATGTGTTGCAACAGAAAGTATAGTAACAGAGATCTGTTAGCACTATAAATACATATTCATATGTATTACTAATACTCAAATATCCTAATAAATATCCATATATATTAACACATATTCAGCCATAATACATAMATATTTATTTAAATATAATAAATATTCTCAAATATTAATAAATATTAATATGTGTGTGAATAAATATCCCTGGGTCTGCTCCAATGCAACTGGGAGGCACAAAGCCCACCTAAATGTGACCCTTCAGAGGAGGAGGACAGACACAGTCTATCAACCTATTCCAAGCAAGCAAAGGTGTTTTTCCCCTCTGTCTTTTAACACAAAAATACTACTCCTATATTGTAACTTTTGATTCTATCCAAAGGGAAGAAGCAATTTCATGTTACAGGTGAGATTATGGTGACTGTGGTCTTACACAGACATTCTCTCTTCTCTTCATTTGTGTTCCTAGGMGTGTGAAAGTTAACATGCAAATAGGTCTTAATGCAGATCTTCGTAACTTTTGGTCAGAATTTACAGCTGATACCTCAGTTCATGTGCTGAGGTGGCAGTAAAGGCTCTCTAGTCTTTACCCAACAATCTTGGCAGATATACTTATCTCCATAAAGGAAACAGACTTGTAGCAAGGCTTGTTACACACGGTGAAGAGGAAGTGAGGCTAATGGCTCATGCAAGCACTCCTCTGTACCCCACTGAATCAACACGGGGCCATGTGGCCTCTGCTTCCCTCCAGACATCACATCATCCTTAGGCCTTGCTCATACCATGCGCAAGATAAACCAGAGGTTCAGCCAGTGGTTTTCTCAGCCAGATTTGTCAATTCTTCAAGGACTGTAGGCAATACTGCAGTAAGTCCACCAATTTACCACAACCTCAACCTACTATCTCTTCTCTATAATCGTGGACATTTTCCAGCAAAATAATCACCGTTAAGGCTAAGTCTTAGCTAAGAGAAAGTGGAGGTTAAATGTTGTCATTCCCTGCACATTGACATACATAGATATATCCACTACTAAATGTTCAATCACCTAGCAATCCAAAAACTGCCCATTTTTTGTTTAAATTAAACTTCTGGTACTCTGATGAAATCCTTCATGACAATAGTGAAAAAATTAACAGGCACAAAACAAAATGAATACCAAGTATGCAATTCCTAAAAAAACTACCTTACAAGAAGAATCACTATATAACATACAGCTTGGTTCTAATGCAGCACTGAAACACTAGTACTAAAGCAATTATTAGGCAAGCTTGAAGAAAAAAGGAGAATAAAAGCTAGTATTTTCTTTATTAGCTTCTTCTGTCCACAAGAAAGTATCTGTTTCACAGCTACTGTAAATCCTACTTTTTCAATAACGTGCTCTGAAGAACACTATGTGTAAGGATTTGTGAACTCCCCTCAAAAGTGAGCGTGGTACAGGGAAATGCTCATGACTCTTCAAGAGACAGGTTCAATTAAGTCCATTTCATTTAAGTCAAATTGAGGAATTATGCCAAAGGATAAAAGAAAGCAACAAGAATACACTCTCTGATACAATAAAACAATACCTTTTTAACAAGAAAATTAAACACACAAGAAGGAGGCAAGTTTCCAGCTTTTAAAGTTTGTACATACCTTGTACAATCCAATGCCAGGATCAATCAGAAACGAGCGAGATGATGTAGATGGCTGACTCGGTGATCCACTGTTGGTGTTTTTGACTTTATTCTTGCAGTTGGAAATAGCACAGGGATTGACTTCTCCATSCTGATCTGTCACAGAGGCAGTGGTAGGAGCTTCAGAATCAGAACGTATTAAAAGCTGAACTATGTCATTTAGTCCAACATTGTAGTCAAATAAAGTGTGTCCATCTTCTAGCTGTCAAAAAGAAATGTGAACTTGTAAGACTCTATCTTAAGGTACCTAAGCAGTTTTCAAATCTTCCTTCTACAGACAGTAATTGTACAGACCAGAAGAGGCAAGCCATATCCTACAGTCAAATAAAAACCTATGTCTTGAGTATCTGAAAAACCAAACTCATCAAGCTAACTGCAGCCATGATTTCTATCAAAGAAAACCACTGAAAGGCTTAAAACAAGAAACAGACATCTCCATAGACTTACGTCACCATCTACAATTAAGCTAAGAAACACCAATAAATTACAAGTTGTGCACCAGGAAATACAGGAAGCAGTATTGCTGCTTTGCTCAGTAAAATAACCTTAAACGACCTTTGAAGCATCTTTGAAGCAGAGATTTGATTCACCTAAAAGCATACACATTGCTTTGAAATAGCATAATCAGTATTAGCTACACCTTACTTCACACTGCAGTGGGAGAAAAACATGAATGACTAAAAAACTCTCATGTCTTTCCAAATTCTTCTTGCACCAAAAAACTTATCCGCTCTTTTTTTTTTCCAAAATAGGTCCTACTTTCAACAGTTGGTGTTACATGAATCTTTTCAAACAGAACTGTTTTCATGAGCTTGTGGGCAATATCAGTACAAGAAAAAGGGGACAAGAAGGAACATGAGAGAAAAAAAAGGAGCTCTTCTCCAATTTCTCACTAAYGTAGTTTTCTGTAACATTCAAATGATCTCAGGATAAACAAAAGTGGAATCTGTATTTCTTTCTCCATCCCCTCTTTTTCAAACATCTCTAAAGGGCAGAGGACAGTTTTGAACAAAAGCTGACAGTCAAGAAATGAACCAGTTCTTCTTCCTGGAACTCAAAATCTTGCAAAAAAAAATTATTCTCCTTACTGCTGATAACTACTGTACCCACAGCTGGGCTCTCTAAAAGCTTCATTCATAGTTCGGTTCAAAGTAATTGAAGCTAGCACAGCTCTCTGGTCAAGAGCTAGAGGAAAGAACCTTTTTCAGAGGCCTATTTTCAAACCAGTTCACTATACAGCACACAAAATCATATTGAAGATTTCCATGCTGTAAATATTAAAGCAATGCAAGTCTTCAAGTAGAAATCTCTAGTAACTGTGATTGTCCAGGTGACTACCAACACCACCTCATATGCCTGGATCTTTAGGCTTAGTGCTTCTCCCTGAAAAGCAAGCTACTTAAGTAACCTTTTCTGTCCCACCATGTCATATATTCCTACACTTTTGACAACTCTTTAACAAAGAGGACAGAAGCATTCTTGCAGTCCTATTACAACCCAGATTTGGGGGCCTTTCACACCACATTTAAAGCATTATTTCATTCAAAGAACAAATAAACCCCAAACAAAGACAAGTAACGGCACTGTAAAAACATTGGAGGGGATATCCACACTGCTGGAGTTGCTATTGCTTCTGACCACTACTCCAGCCCACTTCGAACATCAAACCTCCACCAAGTGATTTTTTTTTGATTGYAAAACAGTTAAAAAGTAGAACAGTACATTTGCAAAGCAAACCAATTCTGAAATAATGAATAAATTTGATTTTACTGGAGACACATAACTTCTGCTCCAATTGGACTGTACAGGCTGTGGCAGAGATTACAGCATAGTTCTTAAAACCCTGTGGTATGAAGAAATCTTCTGAAAGCTAATGCATTAGAGAGAAAGCAGGAACTTTGTTTCTGATATACTGAAGATATGTAAGCAACAAGCAAGCGAGAGCTTTGCTCTCCTGTCTTTGTTCCTGTTCTCTCAGGACAGTCTTGTGCAGGCTGACAGGAAAAATACTTYGAGGTACTGCAATTTAAAGTTAATTCAGTGAAGTTGCAAATCTGAACACCCTGAGTGATCTATAGTAGCTGTGTAAACAGTGTTAACACTAATTTTAAAAATGTTGTGTGTCTAGTCTTTGCAATCTATTGTTCAGTAATGACTGCAGAATAAGTTATATCATTAATGTACAAGTAAGTCCTCCCTATCAGCATGGAAGGCAAAAAGACCCAACCAACGAACCAAATTAAAAAAAAAGAAACAAAAAAATTCCCCCCAAAAAAACCCTTCCAAAAAAAAGCTCTTTTAGAAAGGG